CTCAGCGCCTGTTCTTGCAGGATGATCACCGACGTACAGCTCGCCATCTTCGCCAACATGCTGGGCGTGTCGCTCTTCCTGCTCGTCGTCCTCTACCACTACGTAGCCGTCAACAACCCCAAGAAGCAGGAGTGAAGGCGGCGCGGCCGGCAGGTAATGGCGCGGGCCGCGGGCCGCGGGCTCGAGGCTCCCCTCAGAGGGCGGCGGCCGGGGAGCGGCTTCGCGACCTGCCCGTGCGGGTCGGGTTCTCTCCCCCTACCCTCCCTTCTCTCCTCTCCCGTCCTCCTCCCTTCGTCTTCTTGCGGACCCCGAGGCGGCGGGGACGCGGGCCGACCTCCGCTGTCGAGGCCGCTGCGGACCCAGTCCCGAGGGAGGGAGGCGCCGCCGGGTCGGGAGGCGGCAGCCGGAGTCCCAGGCAGGCGTCTTCCTGACCTCAGGTCTCTCCCCTCTCTTCTAGGACTCCAGGACGTAGTCTGAGGCAAGATGGAGGGCGAGGGGCCCTAGCACTTCGCCTCGTCCCTCCTCCCCATCACCACACGCAAAGCAACTGCACCTGGAGTTTCCAAATAACTTTTATTTCTTCAAAGTCTTTCCTGACCCCATGGAACAAGAAGCTGCCCCTGAGTAGGGTCCAGTAGAGGGGCTGCTTGCTTTTTATTCCCTCCCCCCCATATAAAAATATAGATATACTCTTCTGTGGTCCCAAAACTTTGTGCCGAGGAGGGAGGGAGAGGGTGGCAGGGCCCCATTTTGTCCAAGGCAACGCCCTGCAGTGTCTTAGACCTTGTGGCCGCCTTCCCAAGGAGTTGAGCTGTCACAGGGAATCGGCGGCTCGGAGGGAACTAGTTAGCCCGTCTTGGGGCTACGTCCTGGGCATGAAGGCATGGTCAGACTCGGGGAGAAACAGTGAGTGGGGGAGACTTGGGAACAAAACAAACCTCAGATTGGCCCAAGGGACCCTGGCTATAACAAGTCCAGGATGGGGAGTCCAAGGGACTCCAGGAAACAGAAGAGGCAGGGGCAGAGTGGGGCCGTGGGGGCCTGGCCTGAGGCAGCCTGTAACAGAGAGGAGAGGAAGCAGCGGTGAAAACTGCCCCTCTGCCATCAGCCGGAGTTGGGAGACAAGACATGGAGGTGGGAGGGACAGGCAGGCTGACTACAGTGGTGTGGTGCTGGAACCAGCCAGCTCCTAATTCTTGGGCCCGAAGTGGAGGGAAGCCTGTGGCCACGGTGGGGGAAACATCAGGGGTTAGTTTTGGGGATTTTTTTGAGTTGGAGTCTCACTCCGTCGCCCAGAGTGGAGTGCAGTGGCATGTGCCCCGCCACTGCAGCCTCGACCTGCTGGGCTCCAGCAATCCTTCTGCCACAGCCAGAACTAGAGGCGCGTGCTGCCACATCCGGCTAATTTTTTCATTTATCGTGGAGATGAGGTCTCACCAAGTAGCTCAGGCAGCCCCTCACTTTGGCCTCCCAAAGTGCTGGGATCACAGGCTTGAGCCACTGCGCCCAGCCCAGGAGTTAGATTCTTAATGAAAGCACATCTAGTCCTTGGGGTCAAGACAAGTAGGAGAGGAAGACGATCATCTGGAGTGGCAGAAGTGGGATTGGGGCCTGGGGTGGGGGCGGGGAGACTCAACCCGGCGCTCACCCTGGTGTGGCCGAGCAGGATCCTGGCTCTGGCTTGCTGCGCTCCCTGGTCCGGGGGACAGGGGAGGTGGGGCCCGAACTGCCTCTCATCCTTCTGCCAGTCGGCGGTGAGCCCCGGCCCAGCCCGGGCCTAGCCTGTGTGAACAGGGGGTGGGCTCAGGATGGATCCTCCCGTGAGCTTTCCTGCGTGAGTCTCCATGCCTGAGACCATTGGAGTGTGAGGGTTGACAGGTACGTGGATAATTCCTGGGCACTGTCCCTAGCTGAGAGGGTGAGGTAGGGTTACAGAGAATCCCGGATACAGTCTGAGACATATGTGCTTCAAGTCTCAGGTAACTAAGGGCGGCAAAGGACCCAGCATTTAACCTCCGTGGCCACACCAGGGCCAAGGTCTGGCTGAGTTGAGAAGCACTGCAGGAAGATGGCGGAGGGCTGGTAGGCGTCGGACCTTCCACGCCTCTGCCCCAGCTGAGCAGCATACGTTGTGCCCAGCCAGTGAGCTTCTGCCTCTACTCAACTCTGGCCAAGCCAGGATGGGAACCTGGACTGAATCAGAGTTGGTGGCAGGGCTGTTCTAGCAGCAGCAACCAGACGCGTTACCTGGGGAATCCGGGACCCCTCCTGGCGGAAACTCTCCTCGGGCAGGTCTGGGCAGAAAGAAGAGGAGAAGCTAAGGGCAGGGGCAGGGAATGCCAGAGCCAGCAGGCTGAGGTTGGGGAGCGTCTGGCAGGGACACAGGTCAGAAGCAAGCAGGAGGCCTGGTAGCTGGGGGCGGAGGCTGGACAGGCAGGCACTCGGGCACCAGGCAGCTGATGCGGCCGAGGGGCGGCTGTAAAGCAGTGCTGAGCATTTTCCCTCCCACAGCCCAGGGCGTCAGTGCCTTGCTGGGTCATCAGTTCTGTGCTGGGACCAGGGCAACCCCAAGATGTTACCTGCAGCCGAGTCCTGATGCAGGGTATCTGAGCTCCAGTCCCAAGGAGACCTTTCCCGATCACCATGACAGCCTCTGGCTTGTCCCCCGAGGACAGGAGGGAGCAGCTGCTCCCTAGAGAACAGAGGAAACCGACCGTCAGGTTGGGGCCGGACAGAAGAGGCGGCCACTTCCTTGGGGCTTCTCAGTCCTGGCACTGCTGGCACTTGGGGCTGGGGAATGCTCTGTCATGGGGCTGTCTTGCGCGCTGCAGAATGTTGAGCGGCATGCTTGTCTCTGACCAGCATGTACTGCGTCCTCCCCTGCCCTATCCCGAGTCCTCCCCTGCCCCGTCCCAGGCGACAACCAGTAGTCTTCAGAGGTTGTCGATATGCCCTGGCTGAGGCTCCCGTCTGTCCGTGGCGAGCAGCAGTTTGAGGCCAGTCAGCCCACCCAGGCTCAACTGCGGTGCAGATGTTCAGGCCGCGGGGCCAACTCTGGTCGTGTTGAGCACTTGAGGGTCAGTCAGCTCTCGCCAAGACTGGCGGACTGAGGGCAGCTGACAGGATGGGAGTCGTGGGCTGAGTGTGGCGGGTGCTGGATTGGAGCCTCAGAACCATTCCCACCCAGGCCTTGCCACAGTGGGGTCTGTCACTAAAAGGAGAGCAAATGGCTTAAGTTCTGTATGATTGTGGGGTTATACGCAGTATTTTGCCATGACAGATGGAAGACCTGTATACCTATGTTTTTTTCATTCTCCAGTTTTGACGAATGCTGCCCAGCTCCCAGAGTCAGGGAATGTGGGTAAGTGGCACTTGGCAGGCAGAAAAAGTCCTCAGGTTCCTTGACTATAACAGTGACTAAATGAGATAAAGTGTGTAAAGCAGTGCCTGGCACTGTAAATGTAAGTGCTCAGTAAATATTAGCTGTTACTTTATTATACAAAGACATTCATCCAATTCCAGCTTCCTGTACAAAGGCATCGGTGTTGGAGATTTAGGACACCAGAATAACTGGTCCCCTGGTCTGGAGAGACCAGCGTAACATCAAGTCAAGAGGAAGTTGAAGTCAGGAGCAGTGCAGGTAGAGGAATTTCTGGAAGCCTAAGTTGGAAGCCTGGTCTAAGCCCTGGGTGGTAGGGAGGGGAAGAGGCGGGCCAACCCAGATTTTAGTGGCAGTGGGCACACACCTGGTATGCTGAGCGAACTGGGCAGAAGGCAGGAGCCCAGGTTGCGTGAGGGGGCTGGGCCAGAGTTAGCAGAAGCTGGTGGTGGAGCCAGGCTGCCCACAGGACGATGGTTCAGTGGCTGCTGCCGCCGTCTCCTGTCTTGGCTGCGGGGCTCTGAGTGGAAGGTACACAAGCAGAGAAAAGGGCAAGTAAGTGGGCACCACGAGGCGGCCCTGGCTGGCCGCTGGTTAGAAGATGCCTGTTTGCAAGCTTGTCGCCACACCAGCATCTTCTGAAGCAACTACAATATGGGCAGAGAGACCTGACACTTATTTTCTATTTATCAGCCAGCGCTCACCCTGCCAGTTCACGCTTTTGGTTCTAAAACAGCTTTCCTAGGTTCCCTCGTACCTCTAACTCCCAGCTGCTCTTCTGCCCTGAAAATGTCAGTGTTCTCCCCACTCTGTCCTTGGGCCTCTGGCTCTGTTGATTCTAAACTCTGAAACCTCTCCAGCCTTCTCTCCTGCAGTTCATTCTGCTTGTCCATCAGACATTTCTTCCTGAACAACCATTTGACAAAACAAAACTGGCTCACTCCTTTCTTCATTCTCCTTATCTGACGGAGGACCTAGCTGCTGGAAACCTTGTTCCACCTGTCTGCCCCCTCTTACATTTGGATTGTGTTACAGCAGATCCCGACCGTTCCACCTCTGCATTGCCCTGAGTTCTTCCTTTAGGCTTCCTTGCCACAGCCAGTGTCCAGATACAGGTCTTTAACTCTCATTCAGGCTTTTGGAAAAAGCTTCCCTGCTGCTCTCCCTTGCTTGAATTTCTTTCCTCCTACCATCCATCTTTCACACAGGTGCCAGAAAGTATTATTCTGGCCAGGTGTAGCAGCTCATGCCTGTCATCCCAGCACTTGTGGAGGCTGAGGTGGGAGGACTGCCTGAGCCCAGGAGTGTGAGACCAGCCTGGGCAACATAGCAAGACCTCGTCTCTACAAATAATCAAAAAATCAGCTAGTCTCAGCTATTTGGGAGGCTAAGGGGGAAGGATCACTTGAGCCCAGGAGGTTGTGGCTGCAGTGAGCTGTGATGGTGCCACTATATTCCAGCCTGGTTGACAAAGACCCTGACTCAAGAATACACACACACACATATATGTTGAAATACAACATTCAACAGACGACCAGGCAATCCTCCCACCTATGCCTCCCAAGTAGCTGGGACTACAGGTTGATGCCATTACACCTGGCTGGTTTTTTTAGTTTTTCTGTAGAGATGGAGTCTTGCTCTGATGCCCACACTGGTCTTGAACTCCTGGCCTCAAGTGATTCTCTCATCTCTGCTTCTCAAAGTGCTGGGATTATGGCCTGAGCCACTGAGCCTAGCTGGAAGATCTCTGGTCCAAATCCAAAGTTATAACAGCGCATTCAAACCTCTTGGCTACTGGCTATGTGGTTCCTTTGGAATTTGTTTCCTTTTCTAGTGCCACCATGACCATCTTTCACGCTTCATTTCAAATGACACCAGTTTGAAGCCTCCTTGCCTGTTACAGGTAGAATGACTCTTCCCTCATGACCTTCATTCTTTCTCTTTCAAGCCTAGATTCCCCTGAAGAATACCTTCGTTCTTGGTTCCCATAGCTGGTAGTTTATGGTTTCTTTTTAGTCTCAGTATGTGTAAAGTATATATGGATACATGGTACTCGATAAACGTTAGCTAGTGTTCTTGTTAACTGGAACTTGAGTCTCGAGGGCAGGGACCTTGTCATCTTCAGCACCGTCTCAGTGCCTGGAAAACCAGAGACCTGAGTAAGGGTTGGGCAGATGCCCACTGTAGGCCATGCCCTAGGTCCACCGTCTCGGAGTTGGAGGACATATGGCCACACTACCATATGGAGCCTCACTACCAGTCCTGAAGGGTCGGGTCCCCACAGGGCAGGTGGTGAGGGGTGGGGCAGGGAGGCTTGCGGGCTCAGCAAACTCTTGCTCGGCACAGAGGATGGCAGGTGCCAGATGCTCAGACCGAAGGAGCCATGACCTGGGATAGAATGGGACGTGCCAGCATGCCATTTGGCCCCACATAAAGCAACATATGTTGGATGTAGAAGTCCGCTAACTTAGGAAGCGACAATAGTGTCCTCTTGTCTAGCTACACTGGGCAGTAGCAGGCAATAACAAGAATACTTCTGAGAGATCCCATCAAACTAAAAAAAACTCAGGCACACTGGCTCATGCCTGTAATCCCAGCCTGGTTGCCAGAGTGAGACCCTGACTTAAAAATATATGTATTTGAGGACTGTTTGGCCCAGGAGTTCAAGACCAGCCTGGGTGACATAGTGAGACCTTGTCTCTACACGGGATCACAAAATTAGCCGGGCATGGTGGTGCATGCCTGTAGTACCAGCTACTCAGGAGGCTGAGGAGGGAGGACTGCTTGACCCCGGCAGTGAGCCATGATGGTGCCACTGCATTCCAGTCTGGGCAACAGAGTGAGACCTGACTCAAAAAAAAAAAAAAAAAATCAATACCCATATGGAGCTGGGCTCGGTGTCTCAGCCTGTAATCCCACACCTTTGGGAGGTTGAGGTGAGTAGATTGCCTGAGTCCGTGGGTTCAAGACCCGCCTGGGCAGCGAGACCTCATCTCTACAATA